CATTATCTTCGAATGGAAATTTTTCTATTAGTAAAAAAACTTAATTGAAAACTGCGAGAAAAACTATAGACAAACCTGTAGTAAACAGAAAATCGCCAACGTTTCATCTGTGAACGAGTGTCACAAAATGGATACCAGCTCCCGGGTGAGAAAAAGTGAACACATAAGATCGAGGCAAAATGTGCCAGGCCGGTCCAAGATGGCGTCCAAACCGTGCCGAGTGATCGCATGGAATACAGAACGGTTTCTATTTCATGTACGGTACACAAATAGTAAGCGTTCTCCTTCGTCGAACGCAAATATTTCCTGGTCAATTAGTTTTCAATTTTTAATTGTATATTTGCTTTAATAATTCTTTTTTTTTTTCTCTCGTAACTATTGTTTGCACGACCCCACCTGCAATGCTGATCTTCTTATCGTGTTAAAATAAAGTTCTTATTTATCTATCTTATATGTTTTGAGTGGTTATTTTTATGTTTCCCTCAATTTAGTGGCAGCTCCCTAAGTGACTGAATTTTGATAAATTCCTTGACACAACGCCCTTAAACATTGACAAGGGTACCCAACTTCAATTTTCGGAGAATATCTGTTCGGAAGACGATCTGAGATCTAGAATTTTCGGAACATTTGCTGTAAAACTTCTTGATTGCCTGCCTCCCCTAGGATTTTCGAACATCTGCAAAATGGTATAATTGCCCATTTTAACGGACTTTTACCCTAAAAAGGTCACCTATAATTTTCGGGAGCCTTCTTTCTGGCTGAAATTTTCGAAAGGGTAAGTTTTGATCCTATAACTTTCGGATCGCTAGACTTTCAGCTAGGAAATCCGAACAGATGAAAAATTTTTAGGGGATAAAAATATGCCTATATCTACCGTTTAAATACTAAAATACGTTTAACAATTCTATGTTTAAGTGGTTTTCAACTATATTCTCGTTGGTTGCCCCTGCATTGACTCATTTATGTCGCCTAAATATGTTACGCACGCATCCAAATATTTTACCTCCATTTTTCGAGATGAGTTTTTAACAATGAAATAATATTTAAAATTGTTAATAACTAATCAATAATATATTCGGTATTATTCTAACAGAAAGTGACCGATATGCGTTAATTCACTGGACAGATACATGTATTTGATAAGGTTTACCATAAACCTACATTCATGATAAAGTAGAATGATGCCTCTTGAAGTATATGTCTTCCAGATTTAAACCATTTTCATTTTTACTCGATTTCACAGAAAGCAATCGATTTAATCAGCAATTGTCGGCGAAATTAAATTAATATACTGGAAGCCATTCACGAACTCGAATTATTTGCAATTAAATAGGGCAAGATTCATCTCACAGCGGATGACCGCACAGTCAGGATTCAGCAAAATTTATTTGGTGAGTTTGGTGCTCTGTTTGATGAGTCACTTTTTGTCATTTTCAGTTGAATATTTATAAATTTACATCCAGCTTCATATTCACGATCTTACGTTAGATCTTGACACAAGGAAAAACTAAGTTAAACAATATTAGGCCTTTATTTATTGTCTGCAGTATTTATAGCACAGAGGTTAATTTGTCCATGAATATGTGAGGACATATCAACCAGATAGCTATTTACAGGAGTGGCCTATACTAGAAGCTAAATTATACTAACAGGAAACAAATCCAGCTGGCCTTTAGGGACGGACTTTATCTTTATTTGTTGCCGCCTGAATTTAAGTGCCGCAATCTGACCACTCATAGGACACACTGGTAGCTATAAAAATTTGCTTGCTATAAATGTTTTTGCCAAGAAAAGTGAGTAAAATTGCAATATAACATTTTTCGAATCTTGTAATTATATTTAACAGACATATTTCACTAGGAAAGCTTTTTGTTGCAGTCATGGTTATTGCTTTCAAATTGGTTTTGTAGTAATGGAGATTCAGAGGGTCTTGGAAAGCAATACGAACCCATTCACTTGTTCTAAAAGCAAGGGAACAGAGAGCGTTATTATTCCTTCGGAAAACTTAAAAGGACAAGGTAAAAGCGGAGTCACTAGTTCATCAGTTTGAATACTTGCACTTTAATGGCTAATGATTTAATATATTATTTTATTATCTCTTTCCCACAGGACTATTCAGAATTAATTTACACGTTCTCAAAAATACACGAAATAATGATAACTGGGCGAAATATATTTGTAACGGTAGCGGAACCATATTAAGGAGGACCTCCCTTTTTACCCTCCCCTTGAACCATTAAACTAATTTTTAAATATCTCACTTTTTTCTTGATCTGCACTTTATTCTTATCTCAGACACTGTCACCGTATGTACATTTTTTCATGATGAAATCAAGCAGTGGATAGCTGATGAAAAAAGAATCGAATTAAACGGGTACGGTTTACCGGGCTATTCATCGTTAACCGGTCGTTTCGATACAAAGTCGTTTCGCTTCAAGTCGTTTCGATAAGAACTGAAGCAGTGAAATTGCGCAAAAATTCCAATAATATATAACTTCAAGTACAGTTTGCGTGTGAACAAAAAATAACATTGAAACGACTTGTATCGACTTGTATTGTAAGACCTTGTATCGAAACTACCGGTAACCTTTTCTTCTCTTGCATATATTTGAGTGTTGAGAAACTCTAAAAAGGAATATAATAAATACGGTAAGCGTTGAGAGACGCGTAAAGACTCTTTGTCACTTTCCACGATGCATTGCGGTCGTTCTAGAATTCTGTGGTTCATGAAAATCTTTAGCCACAGCGAAGGCAGCACGAAGACATTAAAAATCCGTCTTCATCACGCAGTTTGGGTATTATCACAGCCGATATTTCAACTCAGTTTCACCAGAGCGTTATTGTAGCAATTTTGCACTACTCAGCAAATCTAGTTTTACCTCTTTTGTGTCTTTCAAAACTCCGCAGCTGAAATATGTGTATTATTGAAATGCAAAATAGCAGGTAGTGACATGTGTACAAATATTGGAACACCTGACATGTAATTTCAATAGCCACTTCACCTGTATCTTTGTTAGACGAGAACTATTTTACATTTCAAAAGAACAACTGTTGTGCTGTGTTTATTCAGCATGATTTACAACATGTGTTTTTCTAAAAGTCCAGGAACTGAAATAGGAAGTATTGTATTTTCACCTTAAAGGAAAAGTCGTTTAAGCAATCGAATTGTAACGCGTTGATCAGCTAGCACGTGTATTTTTGAATAGGTTTTTGTGTTCCTTTGTGATAATCGAACTCTTGTGTATACTGTAGACTGTATAAAAATAGTGCTTAAACACAGGAAAAAATAACAGATTCCCATTTTTGGATATTTTAGGGTATTTATAAAAGAATACCTACAAAAATCTCAAATTTGGAAGAGTCAGTCCCAACCAGGGAACTTGGTTGGGAATTTCCTGGTTGGAACTTGTCTCAATTGTCCAAATTTGGGATTTTTGTGGGTATTTTTAAATACCCTAAAATATCCAGTATTGGGAATCTGTTAATTTTTCCTGTGAAACTGTTGTAAATTGATTGCCTAGCCTGCGATTACCTGCGATTACCTGCGATTACATGTGAAGTACCTCCGTACCTTGGGACGTGGAAATTAGACCCTGTACCTCTGGCAGTAGTAACGAGTGCCAGCAGCGAGCCAGTCACTCTACCGAATTGCAGTTTCCCCCGTCAATAACTTCCATTAGCAGATCACTATTTGCTAATTCTCCCGTCCTTGCGAAGAGCTTTAGTTCCGTTGTTTTCCTAGTTTGACTTTCCCGGCAATTTGGTTTGACAGGCCGAAAAGCCACTTGACGCCGTGAATTTCCTCTCGTTACAGTATAATTTTGGCCACTTTTTTAAAAATATATATATGTTTACAGCACAGTGTACGTGATTCTCCGCTTTGTGGCGTGGTAGGTGCTAATTTCAGTTGCTACAAGTATTTGTACCGTTGTTATTTACATTCAAGATCGAGGTTGTTTCAGCAGTTTTGCAGATAATATAGGTATGGTTTAACAATTTGGTCTTTTGTGTACATGAAATACCTTCATTAAAACGCTTTAAAGTTATCCTATGTTAGCGAACGAAATACTTCTGAATCAATTAGTTGTTGTCGCTTGTTGACTGTGCAAGTTGCGATTTCTCATTGGTATGTGACCGATCGACCAGAACTGCTATTTATGATGGACAGAGTGTAAAGCATACAAAGTTTCTTCTTTTGCTAAAAGCTTTGTTTTTCGCCGTGAAAATAAAATAAAACTTAAAATAATAAAACTTTTTCTAAGGTTAATTTTTTTGTCGTTGTTGTGGCACAGAAATTGACAGCAACTTCGCTTGCCAACGAAGCGCATTCAAAATTATGCTCGGTGCAAAAGAATTTTTGCCTTCAACCAACAGAAACTTCCTTGCGGTATCCTGGGTCCAGAGGTTTTATTTTGGTTCTCCTCGCAAACCTTTGCTTTGAAGAAAACATACAAAATATTTCCCCGCTTCTCTCCGCTAATGCTTTTGTTTCAGTCTTTTTTTCGAAGGAGGAGAAAATGTTCTCGGCGACAAGTCTGACGGGGAACTGGATTTTAATATCCTTGAATATTCCAACAGGGCCGCTTTCTGGGGCTAAAAAGATACTGACTACCGAAATTTGAAACGTGGCGTCCATTTCTTCCTCGAAATGAGATGCCATAATCTCTCCCTCCAAGAGATCGCAGCTCGTCCGTTGAAATCAAATAAACAATGCGCAATGCCCCACGGGAAGTGACAAAGGGATTTTAAGAGAAATTAATGAAAAAATATTTTGCTCCAACTCCTTACAAACTGGTTATCACTCATTTTCACGAAGAAAAATAGAGCAACAAAACTTAAAGGGAGAAGTCGTATGTAACCTGATTTTTTCAGCTGCTGCTTTTAAAAGACGTCATTACATTGAAATTTTCCAGAGGAATTTTTACAATATTGTAATCATTCGTTTCTCTTTGTTTATTTATTTGTTTATTTATAATTTTTTTTCTAACAGTGAAACTATCATGAAGTTCACGCTAAGTAATATAATAGGCAGCACAGTAGATCCCAGGCCCCAGGACGACGTCCTTCAGAAAAACGTAACAGTTATACTACTTTATCAAGGGGTAAGTCCACTTGATTGTAAGTTAATTTATAACTGTGATGAAAAAAACTACCTATAAAAAAGAACATGCTAACGTCTCTAGCTACGAAGGGATTGATTGATAATTGCTTTTACTGTTTTAGGATTTTCTTGTTTTTTTCTTTATAACCCTGCAACACTTTGGAATCAAAGAAAACTCATATTGTGGCTTAAAACAACGCTGAAGTCTCCACGTTATAATCCCTGAAGACGTTGTGAAATTAGGCACTTACTTTCTTATGTGTTTTTAGTACCAAGTTTAAAAACATTTACGACGCCGACGAGTCATTCACCTTTCTTTGATTTTTGTTAGTTTTTAACCTGAAACTTTAAATCCCTTTTCTTAAGGGACTGGAGGTGCATTGTGTCTTCTGGGATTTTACTGCCAAGCGGTAAGTGTGGCGGAATTTTTCAGTAAGCAACTAAAAGGACTTACCAGCATCAGGGGTTATTAGTATGAATTGATTCATAGTCATTGTAGAGTAGACAAGAAATATTTCGCTATCGACTAGGGTTGATAAAATTCTGCCCTTTAAAATTGGCCCTGCCCTTTAAGGTCTTTTATTAATTAAGCAGAGTCATACTCAGGAACTATATCATTGCAGATCAAATTTCAACGGTTCTTGGTCACGCAAAGGATGTTCAGTTGTCAATAGAACCAAAACGGAAATCACATGCATTCATGACCCCCTAAAACTGCCTGTTCTTACGCACGTTGGAGCAGACAATGAGGTTAGTTGAAGCAGCTTGTAGTAGCTTGTAGGGCCGTGGCCAGTATGATGCAAACCGATCGAGGCACTTGCTTCAGTCATTTTTTTTCGGGGAAAGTAAGTTTTTTTTTTTTTTTAAGGACAAAGAAAGAAATTAGCAGCAAATAAATTCACAAACAGTTAAATAAATAAAAAAATGTTAGCGCTGCTGCAACTTGGTTTTACGTTTAATGATAATGCGAATCAGGCAGTGGCCTGAATTACAGATGAGAAAAATTAAGCAAAAATTCATGCTAACCAGGCAGCGGCTCCCCAAAAAAATTGCCTCGTTTTAATACGTTTGCCGCCATTCCTCGCGTCTTCTTTCTTCTCTTGTCTGAGTGTGAAAAATCTATCAAAATGCAGCGTTATATCAACAGTCGGAAGCTGTCGTGCGAGCGCAGCTTTAGCGTCTCTGCAGGTTGAAGACCTGGTGGCGTTGATCGACGGGCTCTAACATGCTGAATGGCCTTGCATTAGACTACGTCCACAACGAAATCCCTGTGGAACCGCTCGAGGTTCTACACTGAGCGAAAGGATGCTAGCAGTAAGCAACTTCGTTGTTTAGATAAGAAAATCCTTAAATAAGGACGGGCGAGACCAGGTTTTTTCTGAGCCAGCGAGACTGAGTACCCCAACAAACCCTTGTTTTCAAGAAACCGCTGTCAGCCAAATCTCGTTTAAGCCGTTGTTATCTAAGGCCTTCCTATAGAAACAAACCGCAAAAAAGCACATTAATTAGCCGCATACTAGAAACCAGAGCCTCTAAAGTAGCATTTAAATACCCCCCCCCCCCAAAAAAAAAAAATTGATACCTAGATCTCTATATCTAGATGGCCTTTATTTAGGCTCTTCGAAGAATTTTTGTCAAATAAGGTTTGATCCCAGTGTTTTGTTTAAACGTAGTCATCATAAAGACCCTCAATAGCCAGGCGGGGAATTCTTGATCATCCTTGGATATTGTCTCAGTCCTTATTTCTTCCTGGCTATGGTCCTGATTTTATAAACTCGGCTCGAGTAAGAAGACTAAAATTTGCTAGTTAGGCTCTCTCTATGAAGAACCTGTTAAGCCTAAAATGTGAAACAGGTTCTATAAACAATTCTGTCAATTTCCATACATTGCTTTGTTGTTGCTGAGCTTGCTTCTATGGTTGATATATCGCAGGATTTATAGCTCCAGCTCTAGATCAGATGTACTTGCGATTTATAGCTATACTCTGTCTGACTTATCGCAGACTTTCAGAGAGGTAGATGTGAAAATAGATATTTTCCATAAATTCCAAAAATTCAATCTATAGTTGAGCTACAAACTGCTATTTAACGATATTATTGTATAAGAGTTTAATTAATGTGACCCTCCACAGGAATTTGATGCTAAAGGTGAAAGCACGCGCACGACACGCTTGCACGACACGCTTAGCGTGCCGTAGATCACAGATATGCGCATATTAAATTGAAAAAACAAAGACGGACACACTTGCCTTTGTTTTGGCAAATTTAACCCGCTAGACCTTTTGTTTTTTTGTAGCGTGCCATATGTCACGGTAAGTGTGCGAATTATAGCACGGTTAGCGTGCAATTAGGGTAAGACACGCTGAACACGCTTGATTACTAAAACCGCTAAGATGATAAAAATGGCTTGGGTTTTAAGCGGATTTAATCAGCATTGATAACTGGTCGAAGTGAATCAAATATACCAATTGAGACTGTTTTGGAATTTGATAGTAACCGTGGCCATTTGAAAATCACGACTTAATGGTGGTCTAGCCTGGAATTAACGCGAGATCAGTGTAAACCAATTCCTCCGGCTGTCGGCTGTTGACCGGAATCGCAAAGAGGCCTGATATCGCATGCGAGGGACTGAAGTTATGTCGCCTGAAAATTATAGTTATGCGACCGGAATATTTATTAGCAGTAATGCACAGAGAAATGAAGTTGAATAAATTAGTTTAATATATTTCTTTAAGCCATGCTGAGACGAACGAAGGTAATTAAATCGGAGAAACAAAAACTGCCTAGAATTTTCTATAGGTTGAGGAAGGCGAAACATTTCTAGATGACCGTTCCATACATGTACAATTTTCGAAGGTTATCTAATAAATTCCTTACGATTTTCTGAAGTTTAATTTTTTCCATTTCATTCCCCAGTTAAGCTATTTTTCGTAGAGAATAAAGGAATCCTAAATTTTTCGGAACCGAAAATACGATAAAATTCTCACTTTCCTAAAACTTTCAATTGGAAGTTAAATTTTTCGGGAAAATAATGCTGAAGCCCTTGTAATTTCGAAGCGCTATCAATCATAATTTATGTGAAGATATCTCGTTACGCTATGCTAAGACGAATCAAGCGCTGTAAATGTGTACTATATCTCGTTCTTCACAGGACGAAAAAAACAAGAATCTGTAAACTAAAAACACTGTAGAATGAGGGAGGATTGCGGGCGACTTTTCTTTGAATTTTGGGCGACAAAACTCGTATTATCAGGTTTTGGACGACATAACTTCAAACGACATCACTTTCGAGTAGCTTGACCGTCACCCCTTTAGATCGAGCTCGATGAATTAATTCAATGACCGAACTTTATGGAACAAATGATTGCCTTCAAGAATTTCACGCGGTCTACTTTTAATTTAGTTCTTTTTCTCTTTTCTCAGTGTGTGACTGACAGAGATTTAATTCTCGGATCGAGCTTTAGTCCTCTAAACACGCTGTATTATCGTGGCAAAAACAAACAATCAAACGAAAAAGCACCATACAATTTCCGAATTCTGTTAAAAAATACATTTTTTACTTACTATTCAAAAAGCGTTGAAACAGTCATTAATTAACTGATGTTTCGCTTTTTGTGTTATTGTCGGCCGGATCAATTAAGTAACGTTGGAAACGTTTTGGAATTTTGGTACATCTAGAAAAGCAGGCTGGTTTTCAGTTGATCACTACGATCCTTGCAATCGCTAAAAAATAAATACAATTTAGTGATCCTGGCACTTGATGATTTCTATTATATTTGATCGCGATTGCTGCGATCGGCAAGAAAGTGTCTTAAGTTCGAAAGATCACTGTTTCTGAGAAAATTGCAAAAGTGTTTTAAATTAAGGAAAGTTAAGATAACCTTTGCACAGCTTCGTCAGTAAAAATTTCTGGAAAGAACTTTGATTTTGCAATGCTAATATAGTTCTACCCATAAATCCAGTAGGTCACACCGTTCACTGTTTATACTTTTTCAAGCGACAACGTCTTTTCAATCAGATACTATCGCTGCGATCGCTGAGGCATAACTTTTTCTTTCTCGATAGTTACCAAAAAAGGGTGCCGTTCATAATCATTTACGGTTCCTTTTTGTAGAGGAAATTTATTTAGCTTATAGATAACACGCCTTGCGTGCTTTTGCGCACACTGAAAGCGTGTTGTGCTTTTTCGCACGGAGCTTTTGTTTGAAAACTTTAACACGCTCTTTTGTTCGACTTGCTCACGCTTAATTGTCTTAAGCGTGTCCTCTGAAACAAAAGAAATTGCTAATGAGGCAAGATTGCAAGCGTGCTAAAGCGTGTTAAAATAAATTCTTTTGTTTTAAAGTGAAAGCGTGTCGTGCGCGTGCTTTCACCTTTAGTATTAAAATCCTGTGGAGGGTCACTTACTGTTGGAGCTGAGACAAGGCCTGATTACAATACATGTAAAATTACATTCAGGTTAAAATTCATCTTGTCAATGCTTCAGTTTTTCTTCCTAAATTGATTTTTACATAAATTTTAATTTGATATGCAGATCTGATATAAAACATAAACTGAATGCCTCTAAATATTCAATGTATTTTTTCTTCAGAAAATAAGAACTTATTTAAGAGCCTCAAATAGCCTAAATTTGTGCTAATTATACCATTTATGTAAGAACCTCTTTGGGCTAAATTGGGAAAATACAGTTTCTTACTCGCGGGTTTTTACTGTACCATGAATGTTAAAATAAATAAGGGGAGCATCTACAATCGTGGCGCCATGAATCCTTTTCACATTGTGATAAATAGTCTTAGTGACTCGAGTAATAAGGAGGGCATGCCTATTTTCGCCATTTAGAGTGCTTCTTTGCAAAATAATAAGGGGCCCTGACTCTTTCCAATATTTGTCTTTATTGATTTAGCGTATTTGCAAACAGCCATAAAACTATCTTTCCAGCAGGTTCCAGGGGATCATCAGGTGGCATTGAAAGTCATTACTTACGTTGGGTGTGCTCTGTCGCTTATCGGAGAAGCACTCACCGCTGTTGCATATTGCGTCCTCATGTGAGTTACAAATAATATACCGTTATAAAAGAGCTCGGACATTTAGATTTGGTTTTTGTGATATCCGGAATAATCAAGGTCGAGGTAAGTGTTTTTAATTCACGCATCTTGGTTTCAAATACACCGAGCATAACACGGCTGGGAAAGAGTGAAAACAAGATTGTCGCCTGCAATAAACAGTAAGCGCTCGAACAGACTTAATGTCCAACAGAAAAACATGGGGCTGTAAGAAGTCTATCATCCAACAAGCGCTTTAAACAGATTTTTCAGCACCAAATGTTTAACCATAGCATATTAAGACGTGATTTGTTTCTAAACTATTTGCATTGAATCTTAATACTTAGTAAATGCAAAATTATGACCATAACAAAACCACAAGGGAGGGGGAGGGGGAGTCAACCGCCCTCTTCACAACCCCTCGTAGCGCATTTAGGCTCTGGATTAGCTCGTCAGACGTTCATTTATGATTTTTAAATTAAGAAGCACCTTAACATGGGATTTTCCCGCTTTGAAAAAAATAACATGTCAACGATGTTCAATTATTTTTTGCCTCGTTCAGGGATTTGAAAGAAGACCAAACTCAAATCCACTTTAACCTTGTGGTCGCCATAGCGATAGCACAAATTACGTTTCTTGCTGGAATTGAGGCCACAGAAGTTATGGTAAGCTAAAGATGTTAGTTAATCAGAGGCACCCAACGACAGTTCTCTGTAAAATATCTGTTCGTAGAAGCACCAATTTCCTAGAATTCTCTATACCTTGGGGAAGACTAAGACTTTCTATGACCGTTCCATTCATGTACTGCAATTTTCGAAGCTTATCCAATAAATTCCCTACGATTTTCTGAAGTTTAATTTTTGGCATTTTACCCACCAGATTAAGCTATTTTTCGCAGAAAAAGGAAACCGAATTCAAAAAATTTCGGATTCGAAAATGCGATGGAAAGAGGAATCGGAAAATTCTCTGTTCTTCTCTCATCTCAAATTTTCGGGAAGATAATACTGAAGCCCTTGTAATTTTGAAAAGACTTAAGTTGCCCTAGGATGACCAAACAGATATAAATTTTAAAGGGCCGATTAGAATGTATTTCTTAAGGTCTAAAAGTACTCTGGATAGCCTGAAAAGTGTTTTCAATGCATTTAGGAGAAAACCGTCGTTGGGTGCCCCTGGTTAATCTGAAAGATAAAGAAATAATGAGCATTTTGTGGCTTGGATGATAAATTGATTGACAAAACATTTAAAAACAAAAATCAAAAATGAAAGACCGTTGGATGTAAACGAGTTGAGTCTTAAATAACGCAATTTTATTAGATGGCATATTCCCGTGACCTCGGTTTTACGCAAATGCGCTAAATGGAAAGGGTGGCAAAGGGTGGGGTAGGGGAGGGGAATACCTATCGCGCATTACAGAGTAATAAAATAAAATATTAACGACATTAACAAGTTTCAGGAGCCTATCCTATTGTCATGTGACTGAGGAAATCAGAGGTAGAGGAACGAGAAAAAAGTGCAAGAAGTTGGTGTCATAACTATATATTTTGTATATCTCTCAGTCTTCTTCTAGTTTCAAATGATATCAACCATCGCAGAAATTTCAAAGGAAAATCACGCGTTACGCGTTGTAAAAATAGTAAATCACGCCTTACGCTGTTGATTTAATAGACCGCTCAAGAAAATACCATAACATACCATAATGCTCTTTGTTTGTCACCCCAAACTTTTGCTTAAGCATTGTTTTCAGTTTTTCTTGGGGCCATTTTAACGCCCAAGAGGAACTGAAGACAATGCTTATCCAAAATTTTGGGGTGACAAACAAATAGCATTATGGTGTGTTATGGTATTTCTGGAGTGGTCAATTGGGTTCGATCACACGTCACGGAATACTCCTTTGCCACCCTGAAAGGATAATTTGGGAGGAATGGAGTCTGATTGCACTGACGTTTAGCGGTGGTTCTACTCCTGTATAATATTTCGCAAACATGGCAGTCAAGTTTATTCTGTCACTTTTTAAGGAAATAAAAATTGTCCTTAAAAGATTTTTTCGGCTGCTATGATTATTATAGGAAACAGGTATGGGTCTAAGGTTACATGGGATCTAGAGAAGTGTTACGGACAGACACACGACAGTGCCTTTAAGGACTTGTGGCTCAGTGGTCGATTGCTCTTTAGTTCTTTTTAGTATCTTTGGTTTGTCTGCATTGCATCAAGAGTTTTTTTTTTCTTTTCCTTTTATTTATATATTTTTTGTGGGATGGGGCAGGGGGTGATAAAAAGCGTGCCGTTATGGGCGATGTAATGACGGTGAATCCCGTTTCTTTATAGGAACTGTGTGTGTTTGTAGCAGCTATGATTCATTACTTCTATCTGGTGGGATTTGCTTGGATGTTATTTGAGGGTGTTTACCTGTATCTGATGGTTGTCAAAGTGTTCAATACGGTCATCAGATTGCGTTTATTCTATGGAGTGGCTTGGGGTAAGCATTAAAGCAAAAGCCTACTGCTGAAAATGGCCCGTTGGTAGATCTAGTCAAGAGGTCCTGACTTTTCAGTCCCTTCCGGAATCAAAAGCATTTTGTTAATTGATTCCTGGTTTATCTTACTTTCCTTACCTACTTAGGGACGGACCATTAGAAACGTTATTGGGGAGGGGGGAATTTTCAAGCTTCAGGAGTTATCAAATTCCGCTGTATGAATTTTTTTTCATCTAATTTTCCCTTGCGCGAATATATTTTTTGTACTTCGCCCCCCCTATAAGTTTTCTAATGGTCCGTCCCTTACAAGGACTTGCAAATGAGACTTGCTATTCAGAGGAATTTGTACCACACCACAGTTCTCATAAGGGTGCTACGCTGACGTAGCTGACGTAACCCAACTGAGCCTAAATTATCATTTTTCTCTTTTTCGTTTTCAATCAAACCTTAGGCGTCTCCCTTTTGATTGTGGTTTTATCAATCGTGATTGCTTCCATTCAAGATGGCGGGATAGAAAGCTATGTTCAAGATCATTTGTAAGTAAACAAGCCAGATCTTAATACTACCGAACAAAATGGAGCAAGAAAAACTTGGAGGTTTCAAGAATCTCTTTATTTTTTTTTTATTATCATTTTTCATTTATTTATTTATTTTTTACAAAGTTGCTTATGAAATTTGCCCAAACTGCCGTTTTCAGAGGAATTGTTATAAGCACGTTCATGTTACAGGCCTAAACAATCGGTTTTCAAAGAATTGAAAAATGAGTCTTCGTAATTTTTTTTCAACATTTCCAATTTTAACCGTCAAGTTTTAACAAGCAATCCTTTCATAGTAACACCTTAATTTGGTATATTATTTTTAGTTGCTGGGTTTCCTTCAAAAATAACCTTATCTGGACGTTTGTTGCGCCTGTTCTCTTAGTTTGCACGGTAAGAATAAGAAAGTAAACATGTTCCATAAGTGAATAAGTAAGTATAAGGGAACAAGCTTAAAAATGATTGCTTACAGAATACTGAAGCTCATCTGTAACTGATTAAAAATTAATATAATCACCAAATATTTGCCATGAAAATATAAGACATAAAACTGAAATTATTAACGATTCAAATAGAAAAAAAGCAGAATATTTAGCTACCTTTCAGATCATAGGCTTGGTGGGTTACTGTAAGCCCATAAATGGACTGATAGTGGCTGCCAGTGCCGCCCTTGTATGCTGACGTCAGAGCTTACTGCTAACATGTTAGCACATAAAGTAAAGAGGACACGTTTATTGTCCTCTCATTCACGGCATTTCATTCATTCATTCATTTGCGGGTAATAAACACATCTGGGATTGAGCGCTGCGGTGGAGGGGAGGCTGTGACGTCATGCAAAGTGTGATGTGCTTCAGGTGTTTCATGCGTCCGAGCGTTGATCGATTAAATATAGATAATATTTTATGTTCTCATTCATTTATTTATTTATTGAAAATTATTGTCAAGATTTGAGAGAAAAAAAGAAACAGGGTCAGAAAATATCTTATTCTCATGCATTGTTTCCACGCAGATAAACTCAGTTTTACTTGCTCGAGTGGTTCATGAGGTTCTAAGAATGCAATCCGACAAAACATCTCATCTGGAAAGAGTTCGACAAGGAGTTAAAGCATGCGTAGTTTTGTTTCCTCTTCTGGGACTGACCTGGGTGTTTGGTGTCCTAAGTGTCACAGATGCTGGACTCGTATTTCAGTACATCTTTACTATCTTCAACTCATTGCAGGTATAGTAATAGAAAATCCAACATTTTAACTTTTTGAGTAGTTTGAGGAAACAGCCGACATTTCGCAACGCGACCACTGGTTTCCCCAAGAAATGACTTGGGGTGAAGAACGTCCATACTGATGACGTGTCACAACACAGATGTGGGAAGTGCTTCTGATTGGATGAAGCAGATTTAATCAATCAAAAGCACTCCCTAGATCTGGGTAGTGACGCGTGATCGGTATGGAATTTCTCCGCTAGTTTCTCCAACGTCGGGGAAACCAGTGGTGGCGTCGCACAATGTCAACTGTTTTTTCAGGCTAACTGACAGCGGGCAAGTTCAAATTTCGGATGCTTTAATCATGCAGCTAATGTTATTTTATCAAAGTACTTAGCTCGGTGACTAAAAAAAGCCGTTTTTATTCTCTCATTCGTTCATTTATTTATTTGTTTATTTTGCCACACAAGCATTCGAAGTTTACTCCAGACTTTGACAGTAGTGTCAAGGAATGTAGCGATCGAGAAAATTAACATGACAGAACATAGAATAGTAGAGATGGTGGGCGGTACCTGATACCATGTACTGCGATTAACCATTGACTATAAATTTTGTCTTCATTCCTTCTGTTCTCTCACCCTTATGAAGGAACTTAACTTTCTTTTTATTTATCGATAAACACATTTTTAGGGTTTGTTCATCTTCATACTTCACGTTTTGAGAAACAGCGACGTACGTACAGCATACTCTAGAAAAATGCAGAAGAGGAATGCAGCAAAAAGCGTGAAAAACTCTCAAGAAAACCGCAAAACAATCGGATTGTGGTCAAACAAAGTGACGAATGAACCAAGCTGTACAAAAGAACCTAGCAGTGCCTCTCTAAGAGCATCGGTTGGAGTAAAAACCAAGATTGACAATGCTCTGCACGAGGAAAGAACCATGACTCCCGTTGACACGTGAATGTCACGTAGACTGCACGCGAACATGGCGAATTTGCTTTAGTAGCCACTGTTAGAAAATAGAGTATTGACAATTTTTCATTATACGTTTAAGTCTTATAGGAAAGAACATAAAAATCCTACAAAGAAACATTACTTCTGTTGACACGTGACTGTCACGTAGACTGCACGTGAATTTGCTTTAGTAGCCACTGTTACAGATTAGAATATTGGCAAGTTATCATCATACGTTTAATTCTTAAGAAACAGCGTAAAAATCCTACAAAGAAATGTTACTTCTGTTGACACGTGACTGTCAGAAGGCCATTTCCGCGCGGGTTGCTCTACTGAGCCTCTGTTTGAAGCGAAACTAAGTGCGACTTCATTGCTATGAAAATGATTTTATACTCTCATAAAAATGAACCGGGAAAGGTTTTGCACTTGTTGTATCCAACAACCAGGAAAGGTTGTTGGATAGCAACATTGTATTATCACATTACCTTGTCGCTTATGAAACGCGATGTTTCTCCCGTTGAATCAGAGTCTCAAAGAGCAAAAACTTTTAGATTCAATCGATCATGAGTTGACAGGTCGTCCTAGTAGACTTTACACTTATTTTAGTCTTACTTGGAAATTCATAAGGCCTTTATTCAAGCTATTCTTATATCAGTCCATGCTGTAGTGAAGAGATATACCCAATAAAGACACTTAATCATTAGTTTATATCACGTTTCTGGAGAAACGTAGAATTCCAGTACCAGCGTTAGAACCTGCAGAATTTGCAGTGACTCCATATTCATTGACTTTTATTGTAGTCATCCGAGATTGTCATGGATTATTAACCCTTTGACGACTTCTTAGGTCGTTTTCGTTCCATATCGAACATGTATATTTTCTTCCTAGTTGGTACTGACGCAGCAACGTCAGCAAAGATGCCGCTCCATCGATAATTCGTTTTGAAAATTCTGACCAATCCTGACAGAGTTAGATACAAAAAAAAGAACTAACAGCTCTGGTGAAAAATTCACAGCCTATTTCGCAAAAAGAACTCGTTTACTCTTCCGATTAGTCGGAAAATGCCTAGTTTGCTGTTGCAAAACTCATTTTAGCCATTTCCATGCTAAATAACATAAAGAGGAATTGGACAGTGGTGAAAAATCCCGTTTTGTCCCTACTCGCTGGCGGTCGCCAAAGGGTTAAGTATGAACAAGATCTATGAAATTGCGAGTGGGAATATGGGTCACTACGTGTGTGTATTATCACTTAATTTTTAATTTTGTGTCTCTGATCTTTGGATCAGAATGCGAGTGCGAGGTTAAATTGGTATCCGCGATTAAACGCCACAGCGTTTAAAATTTAAGTTAGCTGAAAATCACTGTTTAAAAAACTCACTAAAAATCACTGTTATTTCCAATAAGGAAACCTTCAACAGTCGCAATATAATCAAGTCCCTCTATTTGGCCATACGTAAAATTAACGTACCGAAAATTTACAGTGCCCCGAGATATACCTTTATCGGAAGATGACGAAAAAAAGGCATAGGTAGAATCACTTCGTCAATACCTGTCTCTCTCGTAAAACAAATGCACTCTGTTTCAGCTCCAAAAGAGGTTGGATCGAGTTGATAAACTTAAAATATTACTGACTGACAGATGATGATAATTACCAGTCCGAGTTTGCGCCAGATATAAAAATTCCATATTTCTATCCTTACATTTTACACTTTTTCTTCCTACCCCAATCGGACTAAACAATACTACTGCAACGTATCAAAAACTCCGGGGAGGGGTTCCATCCCCCCGCCCCCCATCACCTCCTGAATTTGCGTGTACATTCGAGGGTTAACTAGCACTAAATTCGTTGTGAGTGAAATGCAGAGGAAAGGCTTAGAATTTTGCACAAATTTGCTCCTTGCAAATATATAAATAATGAGGACTAAATATATGGCAAAGATGGTTTGGCCACATTTGCATACCAATAAATCCTGGGTTGTAAATAACTAGGCAGATGTGGCATTTTGGGGCCTTTGTGTAATCTCCTACTCAGATCTCTTGTTGAAGAGGCCGAAGGCGAGATCTGGTTATATCTGATTTGTACACTTGATCGCCTGTCACAGAAGCATGGGCTCCTGCCTGTCAGGAATGTGACAGGTGATGAAAGAGCGCATGCTCAAAATAAATCCTTAATTTTAGACGTGTCAAATGACGAATTTGATAGAGCCGTGAAGTTTTCTCTAACAAAACGTGGTTATACGCATATGTTAAGAATGAACCAACTAAATTGTTGTTGTTTTTCTTTGTAACATCAAATCGAAAGCGACATGCTGATATTAATCACGGAAAACATGCCTCCACGGCTTATAAAAGTTGCTGGCAATACAAGACCATCCTTAATAGGCCATTTCCGAGTTCCACCGGACCTCTGTTCAAAACGAGGGTAGGTGGTCAGCCTTTGATATGGAAATCATTTTTCATTCTCATGCAAATAAAACTCATTTTCACAAGAAAGGTTGTGCACCTAGCCTCATTTTGAAAGTGAGGGTTTTTGGAACTCGGAAGTGGCCTATTTGGAGGAAAAATTTGAACAGAGGAGAGGGAGGGAGTGAAACATATACCCCACAGATATTTGACTACGGCAGCGGTTTTACTGAATGAGAGCAGATTTTTCTGTAGCCTGTTCCAGGCGTTCAGTGGGGAGAGAGTTAAATTGTAGGCGGTGAGCGGTAAAAGAACACGAGAGAAAATCAAAGAAAGACTATCGTCAACTCGTGGGAGCGATGTTTCGAAAATAATCAAATGATAGTTATCAACTCTGGTTTTCCATGATAGAAATTCGGATTGTTTATCCATGTGTTCACACTTTGATTACTGTAATGTAGTGTGGGGAAACTGTTCTAAGAACCTATCTTCTAAATTGCAGAAATTGCAGAATCGCGCCGCTAGCGTTCTGACTTTCTCTAATTATGACTGCAGTACTAGTGAATTATTTCAAAATTTAAAGTGGTCGAAACTTGTCCATCAGCGCGCAGTTAGTAAAGCAATAATGATGCATAGCATTGTAAATAACACTGCTCCAGAATATCTGACTTCGCGTTTTGTTCGTCGCTGCGATTTAACCAGTTATAATCGTAGAGAGAATGAATACAAGCTCGCTGTTCCACAACTCCGTACTGAATTTTATAAAAGAAGTCTTTCTTACAGCGGAAGAGTGTTATGGAACGGCTTGCCTCTGGAAGTGCGGCAATTGACATCCCCTAGTATATTTAAGGGAAAATTAAGAGACGTAAATTTCGGTTGACAAATAATTTAATTAGCGATTTTCTGTTTGTACACACGGCCTCCATGAAAAGCAGGTGTTTTCTTTTCATCTTTATTATTTTAGTTTTTATCTTAGATTTTAGATTAGTTAGGAAGTTAGTTTTTCTATACTTCACTCTAAATGTATACCTGAAGGAAATACCGTGTTTAAATAAAGTTACCTTACCTTACCTTACCTTACCTATACTATCTTTTCTTTGGAAACACGATACTTTTCCTGCTGTTTATTGCACTCTATTAAATAATAGTTATTTAGGCATATATTTATAGAAAAACGACAAAACAAATAAGCAAACAAAGCAAAACAGAAACGGGAAAAAGAAAGAAAGAAGGAAAAAAAGTATTGAGTAGGAGTCGACCCGGCACTTCAGCTTGACGGACACATAAGAGGGTCTGAATGGGGGAGTCCACTTGTCGGTTGTCGGTTAAAATTTGGTTACTTTGTCGGTAGTCGGTTAAAAATTTCGATCTTTGTCGGTTGTCGGTTAATCTCAGTTAATAAGTAAAAATGCATGTTAATTATTAAAATTTGTTATGTGTTTCAATCAGTTTCAAGACTTTGATCCCTATAAAACATGTAAAACTTGTAAAAATGCATCATTTGATTGAACTTAAACTTCATTATGCAACATGATAGTGTATTTCACCAAAGCGTTTATTGCAAATGCGAACTTGGTTTCCCTGTTGATCACAGGCCACTATAAAAAGTAATGAAGAGAGGTTAATTGGACACAGAGGGAAACGCCCAGTCTAACCTTTTGGATACGTAAATTATTTTTGGGGAAAAACTGCAAGGGGTGACAGGTTGCACATCTATACCGGCGTGAAAGACCTTTAATATTTTGGCTCTAATAAGCATGTTCTTTGCCATGGTTTTCCTTTCTTTCAGGAAATAAGGGGTGGTTCTTTAAAAAATTAGCAAAGTAGCGGTTTGTTTTTGCATGAGATTCCACTTTTCCATTAAAGCTTCTTTTACGACCAGAAGAGAGTTACAGTGTACTGCGCAAGCGCGACCAGTAAATTTCGTCGTCGTGGTGTCGTCGACGACACCAAACAAAGTACAATCACGTCGTCCTGCAATCCACAAGCTTCAGCAGGTATAATGCACCTATCAATGTAATGCCGGCGGGGAGGGAGGCAGAGCGTAGGGTGGAGATTTGATTTTTTTCAAAAATTTGCAATCAAATTCCCCGCCCACGGGCAAGTCATTCCAGTCAAATGCAACCAAATTTCCCCACCCTAGGCTGCACATTGCTTTCAATCCCAAGGCAGAACCCAAGAAAGGCACATACAATAAAAATATCTCCAAATAAAACTCTGCAATCTTCTATAAATGTTGCTGCATCACCAAAGATGCATGTTCCTGTGACAGCTGCAATTATACGTTTTAACCATAATTGGTGTTACACTGCGTACAATACATAAACCTTTAGGAGAAAGTCCACATTTTGCAAGTTTAAATTAATATACCGTTCTTAGTAAAGGGTACAAAAAAAGTCAGTTTCGTAAGTTTACACTGATTGTAGCGAATGAGCCATACACTAATCAATTGTACTTGAAAAAATCGACTTGCTTTCTCTTTACTTTCGTTTATTTTACTTCCACAGTATTTTAAGAGGTTCAATTGATCAAAAACACGCTAAAACAAACGAAATTTGAAGACAAAACAGTGAAATTCACTCAGCCTTCGCTTTTTCTCATTGGC